CTACGGACTGATGACGTCAAACGTCTGATGACGTTGGGAGTGATGCGTTGCCATTCCTCGAGGAGACATCGTTCCAAGTCCTGGACGTTGACTGGAGGCACACGGCGACGTCGGATTTGCCGATCGTGGTGGTCCCATAAGTGCTCGATGGGATTCATGTCCGGTGAACATGCGGGCCATGGCAAAACCTGTACGTTGGCGTTGGCAAGGAAGTTCTGTGTCAATCTTGCTGTGTGTGGCCTTGCATTGTCATGTTGGAAAAGGAGTCCACGAGGCTGTTGCTGAATAAAGGGCACCACAACAGGCCGTAGGATGTCATCAAGATAACGCTGTGCATTCAGGTTTCGACGAATTACGACAAGCATCGTTTTGACGTCACCACATATGCCACCCCAAACCATTAACCCTCCACCTCCAAACGGCCGGACCTGTTGGATACAGTTAGGCGCCAAACGTTCACCAAATCGTCGGTATACAAGCTGCCGTCCATCGTTTCTGAAGATGAGGAATCTGCTCTCATCAGAGAACATAACACGTGCCCAGTCCCGCCGTTGCCAACGTCGAACTCGCCAGGCCCAGATCAGTCTGTTGTTCCGGTGTCGAGGCGTCAGGAGCGGTCCGCGGTAGGGATGACGTGGCCGGATACCATACTGCCGTAGTCTCCTGTAGACGGTCTGTCGACTGATCCTGTGTCCCAGTGCTGTAGCCGCCGTGGACGTCGCTGTTACGGTGCGGTTCCTCAGGTGTAATACCCGGATGTAACGATCTTCACGGGGCGTGGTTACTCGTGGTCTTCCACTCCTGGGCCTGTCTGACGTCTGACCTGTCTGACGTAACCGCTGCATCAACCTGGTGATAGTGATGCGTGCGCAGCCCAACCTTCTGGCGACGTCGACGTGTGACGCTCCTTGTTGGACCATTCCATCGGCTCTCTCTCTCTCGATGGCTGTCAAACGTGGCATATCTTGTGTTCTTTTTGTTGCTGTGATATCAACGTGTCTGATCAGCCGTTTTATACAGTTTTTCTGCACGTGCAGAACATGCTAGAGAGGGAAATGTCACTTTCACGAAATTTACGTTTTTTCCCGGAAGTGATCACGTGTTCCCGGTATTTTTTATCGACTATGCTGTGTTTGGGATGTGCAATACGAATTGGCATGTTTTCATACTTGACAATTCACTTAGTAAAAAACAATTTTGAAAATAAGTTGGTATCGTTTCTTTTGGACACTAGTTTATGATACTCAAATGCATCACCATCGAATAGCCCATCTTCCCGAAGCAAGTGAATTAACTGACTATAAAAGTCCAGTTTCCACCCTTGCAGAACTAGGCGTGAATTATGGAGTTATATTTTGGCTGGATTAACGAGTCTATGCACAGTCCAATCAAAATCGCGCAACGAAATCGAAATCCGATTCGTAAACTGTCATGCAGATTTCGGTCGATTGCAGGGTTTGCAAAACATGTGCACCGCAAACTCGTTGTCAACAGATATTTTCTAAATCTTATCATGTTTTTAATCAAGGTGCTGACGTGATTTGATGCACTTTACAATGTAAGATTCGTTTTATCAAGTGCAAGCAACTGCAAGTGATACGAGAATTGGAATCTGATTGGTCCATTGGAGAGGCTTAGATGGGACATAACTGGTAATAGCCACTGGCGGCGCTACGATCGTGTCCAGGAATTCCAGCCTAGTTCGGCAAGGTAGGAAACTGGACTTTTAAAGTCAGTTGACTCCCTTGCCTCGTGAAGATGCGAATAACCCTGTCTTGCTTGTTTCAGTTTCCTTCATCAAACATTGGGGGATACTTTCTTTGCTCGGCAGTTTATATTTAACTAGATATAGAATCCGATGGGGAACCGCGGCACCAGGGGAGAATGTCTCCAGCTCCCCCTTGCTTGCTGAAAGTCCCTTGGGACGCGAGGGCATGATCAGCATGCATCGACAATGCATCGAAATCACAAGCGAGTAGTGTAAGTATGTAATGAACAAAAAGAACTAAACCTACACAGGACATGTTTTTGACTATTTTATATGGAATATTTCAGAGAAACAGTCACATTGTTTTGTTGTTTCTATTACAGGGTGCATTGCAGATTATCGGTACCATGGAAATTATTGAACACAGCACACGTCTACGCAAAGGAGGAAAAGAAACAAGGTTTTGCAGATCAGTTAAGAAGGTATTTGTATATATTTTGCTCTAGTCTTTATCCAGGTAAGTGATAACTTTGTTAGTCAAATGCCAATTTTGGCAAAACATTTGGAACCTGTAAATAATGAAACAAATGTGATTGTCACGGTAATCTTGCGTTTACTAATGAACATTTAATAGGATAATGTTTTATGTAATATGAACGAGTTTGATATACATGACTATGACAAAATAAATGTTTGGTGTTGAAGGATGTTGTGGAGTCACCTTTCCTGAAGCATGCAATGGTCATGTTGCTGTTACGAACATCGTCCTTGGGGATATTTACCGACGAGAAACATCTACAAAGTACACGCGCTTCATGTAAGACTTGAAACTTAAGGTTTCTTAAAGTATGGAAGTATGCTTCAATTTGCTACACGACAGTTTGTATATTTCATTTCTCTGACTCACATATTAAAGTGACTTGAATATCCATGATCATGATATATAAGGATAATAAAGAAGTCAGGGTTACAGTTCAGAATTTCGTCCGTGTGATTTTTATGCAAGAGAATGTGCATGGGTGTGTGGCTACGGTTTAAAAACCATCGGGTAAACTGTATTCGACACACACGATTAGTTGTCATTTCAATGCTTTAGAAGCACGTGTCCGAGAACGTGTGGTGTTCTGAATCTCGGTCCAGAACACTTTGCAGACTTTCTAAAAGTGTTACATCGTCAGAACACGTATGTTTGTATAACACTCTTGTTCTGGATCGAGAACATCAGCGTTTAGAATATTTTCAGAAGACATGGATGCGTTCTATAAGTGTGACATCCATGTGTTCTGCCTGGCGTTGAAAGGTAGAACACATGGGTTTTGAGTGTATATTGTGTGGCATGGTGTGTCAGTGGGCTAGCGCTATAAAACCGGCATTAGTCCAGACTAGTACAAACGGAAATGCACACGCAAGCACACGCGTCCTTGAACGCGACCTTAAACCCCATTTTCCCTCAACAATCGCCCTGTCTCCCCCCACACCCCACACCCCACACGCACATTTTGCAATTGCAATATAAAGATCTGTAACATTAAAAAAGAAGAAGTCCGTTTGACTCCAAATGAGAACGATGAATTGCAAAGTAACTCGAAATCCAGAAATCCTTCCACGGTTTGTCCCCCTACGTGTCATGTACACATTTCAAAACAAAATTACATGATAGTTTCTTAAAGAACTTCATCCGTCATGGGTCTTAAAATAAACAAAATTCGGATTTTGTTGGGTACAGGGTATTCATGGTCAAGTACCGAATTGATGTTTCAAACACTTTTCTGGATTTAGAGTTATTTTGCAATTCATCGTTCTCATTTGGAGTCAAACGGACTGGATTGTAAACAGTGAAGCACCTATAAAATCTACACTGGTGTTGCTGGCGTTTGTGTCGACTTTGTTAACGATTGCAACAATCTCATCTCAAGTTGTTTTGTTTGTTTGTTTGTTTGTTTGCCAAACACAGATGAAGAGAGCAACTGATGTCACATGGTTATCCCAATACAGCAGTTTCCTTATGGTTGCAGTGGGTAGTGTTAAAGTCGTGAAAATTGATGAAGGAAATTTACCAACAATGTGGGTTTAAGAATGATTTCCTTCTGATAATAAATTGCCAGGGGACGATATGTAACTTGTGTATCAGATGTTTACTGCTGAGTAAAATATTCTGATATTTATTGGAAGATATTTCTGTATTTCCTCATTCGAGGGTCTAATGCATATGTATTGATCAACCTTTGACTCGCTAAAGTTAGATTCTGACTGACTGGAATAAGCCAGATGGACGGTGGCTGGTCCTACAGTACTGACAGCCACACCATCACGTTGGCGTACTCCATATTCATTTAATGGATAACAGATACTAGTAATGCTTACTATGACGAGAGAAAGTAAAGAAACATTTTCCTTTTAGTCTTATAGAAAATCGAATTATTACTCAATATTGTCAAGCACATAAGTCAGATATATATATTTTACACATAATATTCTTTTGCACTGTTTATTGACTGATATGTACCCCTGTATCTGATAGATATCTTTATCCCACTATATCTCGAAAGAAAAACGGCCTAAATCTGTTCAGATACTTTACTTTTTCTTGTTGATGATGATGATGAAGAAGAAGAGAGAGAGAGAGAGAGAGAGTATTGTTTTAGACCGCTTTTAGCAATATTCCAGCATTATCACAGCTGATGATGAAGAAGAAGAAGAAGATGATGATGATGATGTGTTCAAATTGAAAGTACGTGTAGATTGTTTGGAATAGCTTGTCGAAAGAGGCGTCAAAGGGATTCGGTCAGGGTCGTTGACTTGGTTGATGCATGTCATCGTACCCCAATTGTGTAGATAGATGCTCATGATGTCAATCACTGGACTGTCTGGTCCAAACTCGATTATTTACAGACCGCCGTCATGTAGCTGGAATATTGCCGAGTGTGACGTTAAACAAACAAACATTTAATGGATAACAGATAATGCTTGATACGACGCGGGGAAGTAAAGAAACATGTTCACTTTAGCCTTATGGAAAATCGAATTAGTAATCAGTATTGTCAAGCACATAAGTCAGATATATATATTTTACACATAATTTTCTTTTGCACTGTTTATTGACTGATATGTACCCCTGTATCTGATAGATATCTTTATCCTACTATTTCATGAAAGAAGAACGTCCTAAAAACTTTACTTTTTAATGTTTCCCGAATCACTACATACATGTAGCAATATAGGGGCGGTAGGGTAGCCTTTATTTTCTAATTGCCCCAAAACGCATATTTCATTTTAATATTCCGCAATGCAGCTTTTAGTATTACCCGCTGGTCCGACCCAGTCTGGCTCTTTTGGTTCTACTTTGGGGGTAATTTTCTGATTTTCAGTGATATGTTCATATAATTCTCACCGCTATTTTGCCTATTACGCCCAATGAAATCCGTTTCGGAAGATAATCGAGACTGATTATTCTCTGGCTTTGACGTTTTATATTTACATTCCGCTTCGTGTTTGGACACATTCAAGGAAATTGCGTGTTTCCTGGAATTGTTGAATTCGCGAGTTGCTAACAAATGTCGCGAAAGAGGATTTGCATTCTTTTAATAACTGACCCACACAGAACTACAAATAACACCATCGTTGTCGTCACGCACGTAGCTTCTCTACTGCTGGCTGTAGTTGTCATTGGGAAACAAACAAACAGATTTACCCACAGACGAGCGTTATAGCGAGGTAAGAATGCGGAGCAGATCAGGTCACAATGACATAACTAAGTTCTTGTGTAGTGAAGTACTACTAGGGTATATGTTTGGGCGGCGTGGTTGCAGCTGCTATTTATAAAGCAGTTTGTCTCTGTGACAACTGTCACGTGTAGTCACATGTTCTCTGTGACAACTGTCACGTGTAATCACATGGTCTCTCTGACTAGTGTCACATATTATCAAAGGTAAGATGTTTAACGTTCATGCAATGTTCAGTCCCTTTGTCACTGTTTACTTCACGATGTGATTGTCAAAGTCATCAAAACGAAAATCATGCTTAAGACTAATATCAACATAAACTAAGATACTTAACCCTTTTACTGCCACGGGATCATATATGGTCCCGCGAAAATGCCCCTTTTCAATTGTGAATTAAGATGTCAAACACTGAGTGCGCAATATCAAAATTATAACCATCGTCATCCTAATCATCTCAGCTTTAACATCGTGTAACTCATATTTTCTACAGTGCTACGGATTGCGAAATATGGCGATATTAGTAAAGTGGTTAGATCTACCGCTCTTCTCGACCTTTGTCTGCCATGTTAATTTCATGTGAATGACGGCGATGTTTTTTGTTATGCACCCATGCCACATACACGAAACTATTATATTACAAGACCGACAATTTAAAAAGAACATGATCAGACGGGTCTGAAATATTTTCTTTTCCCCACTGCACAGTTATTGGCGTAAGACTACTAACGTTTAGTCCGCAACGGAAGTGTTTTGTTCAAGTATTGCATATTTTTATCGACCGTGTCATGGCGATTTAGCACGGCGCTAGAGACGAAACGGCAGCGCAGATTATCTTTCTGTTTATGATGCTGATTTACAGAAAAAAATTCAAATCTAAGATATGGAAAGATAGTATGATCGTTAATATAAAGGTTGTATAGTCACTATAGTGTATATTTATGGGCAGGAAGTTCATGATCAAAACGTAAACATTGAATGACCAAGCCCGAAGTGATCGACAGGGCACGTTCGCATCACAGCTGTGCCGCGATTTCTTGTCCACCAGTTGTCTTTCATGCTCGCCCGTTTCGACAAATAACTGCCTTTTTTTATAAGAATTGACTAGGAGTCATATGTGATTGCTCAAACTACCTAACCGCGCGAATGAACTGCCCTAACAGTTGGATATTTTGTCACAAAAGGTGATTTCAAATGTGTGGCCACATCTAACGTGAGTCGACGCCATGGATACTATGTGCTGCAAAGTTCGATTTCGATTCATTTTTCCTTTCATTGAAACAGTGATAATGGCGCTATGATTGGTTTGCTGAAATAGTATTATTCATGAGACTAATGCAGCAATAGAAACTAACAGTATTAGCTCACTAGTTGGTTGGTTGGTTGGTTTGTTGTTTACCCTCTTGGTGCCTCACTTTTCACACCCGCATAGTGCCAGGGGACCATATATGGTCCCGAGAAAATGCCCTTTTTAAACTGTGAATTTTGATATCAAACACTGAGTGCGCAAAGTCAAAACTATAACCATCATCACCCCAATCATCTTAGCTTTAACATCGTGTAACTCATACTTTATACAATGCTACGGATTGCGAAATATGGCGAGATTAGTAAAGTGGCTACCGCTCTTCTTCGCCTTTTTCTGCCATGTTTGAACACCAAGCACTTTTATCGATGGCTGGGCAGTGCATAGATCTTTTGGATTTGGGCGACTTTAGATACTGTTGGAAAGACAATCAACTCGAGTTGCATGTTATACAATTTGGTTACACTGTGTGAAGAAATAAAGACGTTGTAACACTTTTGATACAATGTATACTCGGACCCCATGGTACCGCGGCATTCATCGTATCGCGGCATTTGTGATTTCCTGTAGTTCACGCGGGACACGCCTCTTAGCGGCTGTCTATTAATGCAAATCAGTAACCAGGAAGTGCACACTTCGTAAACAATTTCAATTTCCTCGGAATGTTCCGTCTGCTGTAAGTAAGGAGTTATTAATCCGTTTATACATATTTCTGGCATCTGTTGTAATATTGCCTTACCCCCATCTATCAATGGCCAACGATATAACCCGCAGTTCCCCAAGTAAACTTTCTCTATCGACCTGAACTAGATCATCTGCATATTCATGGCGACTAATGAGGTAACGGAAGTTACGTAGTCCGCACATTTTTTCCCGCTCGGTGCCCAGAATCTATTGGGAGATCATAAGGGCCATAATGCCAAACTTATAAATACGTTCTTCACTAGTAACCAAAAGATAAATACATACTTTGGGCATACTAGGAGTGCTTTTTGTATATTTATTGTTGACTTTTAACATTTTTCCATTTTGTGACAAATTATTGTCATCCAATTTTTTTTAAACAATCTTAAAATATCATTTCTGATATTTTGATGTTGACTTATCAAAATATTTTTCTCATACTTTTCGGAAAATATGCATTGAATACCTATTGCTGATAACACATTTAGAATTTTACTTGTGCTGTCTTTGCACTTATCTGGACAAATCACTGATGTCTAGCATGATCATACCAAGTGGTTGGTAGAATTATATCCTCTTTTTGTCCAATTCGGATCTCCATACACAACTTTTCTCTGTACCGCGATACGATGGAGTTCTCTCCCTTGTCACACTGAGCGCGAGGCCCGGCTTTTACTCAGAGCTACTAATGCTAATAATGAACTTTTATCAGAAAAATATGCATTGTTTGATAACATGAATGATATCTGATACAGAGAACACGAATAAACATAAAGGTTAGTGAGTGCATTTTGTTCCGTTTAGCGTACATGACAAGTACCGCGATACCCCGAGGTTGCAGGCTATACGTTTTTGAAACAGCGACGTCATCACAGTGCGGCACTGAGCGGTTTGCAGGCTGACTGACGTCCAGGCATATGAGGGTTAACGCCGCACTCAGCAATATTCCAGCTATATGACGGCGGTCTGTAAATAATCGAGTCTGGACCAGACATTCCAGTGATTAATATCATGAGCATCGACCCACGCAATTGGGATCGATGACATGCATCAACCAAGTCAGCGACCCTGACCACCCGATCCCGTTAGTCGCCTTTGACGAGAAGCATAGTCACCTTTTACGGCAAGCATGGGTTTCTGAAGACCTATTCTACCCCGGAATCTTCACGGGCCCCCACTAGTCCTTATAATGATAACATATAGCAAAACCCTTAAAAAGGGTAAATTTCTACTAGTCCTTATGATACCTTAACTATTGGGCAGTTTGGCAAGGACTACAGGACTAGTGCCAATTTCTAACGCTGCTAATGTACATGTTACTTGCTGTGATTGTACAAGATAATTGATAACCAATTGTGTATGCATACCTGTCATCAAATACACATTACTAATCTTCTCAGAAAATGGAATATATTATCACAACACGACAGCTCGTATTTCAAACATTCTGCCGTGGATATTAGATGTAATTAATATTAGATTTAGAAATCATTGATGTAGACTCGATTAACGTATGATAATATATTGCGAGTCTTCAACTCTGATTTGATATGCTATCTGAAATGTCCGCAATGAGTAAAAACTTCATATTTTTTCGGCCAATGACGTAACAATCTGCAATCTTATTTGTGTAGGTTCGTAGTAGACGGTCGGTGATTTCCCGACGCTGGGAATTTGTCGTCTGGACAGGCGCGTGTGATTTGACATCGCTTGTTGTTACGTGGATGACGTCATCTCAAACAGCTGATCTAATGTTGTGGTAGTCTAATAGGTACACGTGTTTTCAGTTTCCAAATATAATATTCTCTTTGACTGAACTAGAAAGATCTAGTACATAACGATTAAGAAGATTTCCACGGCGACCGACGAGTGAATGAGACAGTCTATCACTTGACTAACACTGTCAGAATATTTGGCGCACTTTTCTAATTTTGGTATGTTGACATATTTGTTTTTCATATCTGTTTGAAGACTAATATTCCAAGAAAATAATGTGCATATAGCTGAGCATCTTCCCGAGGCAAAAGAGTTAACCGACTATAAAAGTCCAGTTTCCACCCTTGCCGAACTAGGCTGGTATTATTGAGTAACATTTTGGCTGGACTAACGAGGCTATGCATAGTCCAATCAAAATCGCGCAACGAAATCGAAATCCGGTTTGCAGGATTTTTAAAGCATGTGCACCGCCAACTCGTTGTCAGCAGATATTTTCCAAATCTTTTCTTGTTTTTAATCAAGGTGCTGACGTGATTTGATGCATTTCGCGACGTAAGATTCGTATTATCACAATATAGACCTTGATTATCGATCAGATCGTCTTGACTGGGCGCCACTGTTTTGTTTGAAGCAAATGCAAGTGACACGAGAGGTGGAATCTGATTGGTCTAAAGGAGAGGCTAAGAGGGGACATAACTCGTAATCGCCACTTGTGGCGCTACGATAGAGCCCAGGAACATTCCAGCCTAGTTCGGCAATGGTTGAAACTGGAGACTTTTAAAGTCAGTTAACTCTCTTGCCTCGGGACGATGATAGCTTAGTAGTGGAATGGAATGTTTTACAGTGAGAAAGCTGTCAAAATGGATCCAATAATAAACAACCTTTTTAATATTTTAGCCTCATATATTAAGATCGCGCATGGTTCAATTGATAACAGGAATTTAAGTAATTAGTCCTACACACAATACATATAGATAATCGATTTCTGAGTGATAACATGTTTTCAGTGTAAATGTGATTTTTCATAATTTTTTAAATATTTTTAAATAGATCCATTATTAGTTTTTCACTGTGCATTATCTAAATTATCAGATACTTCGATCAGTGACATACGTATTTAGAATTAATTACATTCTTTTGTATCCTTCGTAAGAAATAGAATTTGTGAAAAAACGTCTTGTCTAAGAGCAAAATGAATGCATTCTTTTTTCACAAGTTTAAATTGAATATGTTCCCTCGAAGCTGTAGTTTAGCTAGGCCAAAAGAAAAAAAGGAAAGACATAATAACTGAAAACCATTCAATACCAAGAATATATTTTTCCTTTTAAGACAAACAATTCCATTACTTTCATTGACCTACAATCATTATCTATTTCAAACATTTCCTTTTGTAGAATTTGATGAAATGGGAAACTGTACTGGTAGTAAACTATCACGTATATCCTTGAATGTACATGTGCATAACTAGGTGTAAATACACTTCTAAAGTCGTATTTATAACAC